AATATAAATATCTAACCCGAGTTTCTTAAGAACAGCGTCAAAGTGTGGCCCGCATGTAAAAACTTGGTGTATGAGGTCTTCAACACAAAGGAGACCCAAACACCCAAATGTCTCCTCCACCTTCACGTTGTCAGAAAGAATACTATCAACACCCCCGCTCTCAGACTTCAGCCGTGCCCTGATATATATAAATAAATAAATAATATATATATATATATATATATATATATACATATATATATATATATATAGATAGATAGATAGATAGATAGATAGATAGATGTGTGTGTGTGTGTGTGTAGGTATACATGCTTATATATAGTTGTATATACACAAGTAAAGAAAAAACAAACAACGGGCACCAACTGTCTCCTTTGTCTCTAGGTGTCTCCAACTGTCTCCTCTGCAACTAACTGTCTCCATCTGTCTGTCTCCTCCTCTCCTTTATGGGCCCGCATCAACCAGCAGCAACATCTCAAAGCCACAAAACCCAGCAGCAGCAGCAGCAGCAGCAGCAGCAGCAGTAGCACTGCCTTCAAGCGCAGGCGGTGCATCCTGTGCATCAACAGCAACAGTAGCAGCAGCAGCAGCAGCAGCAGCAGCAGCAGCAGCAGCAGCAGCAACAGCAGCAACAGCAGCAGCAGCAGCAGCAGCAGGACCTTGTAAGGAAGAGTCTCCGCACAGTTTCTTCTGACGGCAAGCCATAGAATACAAAAGGAGACACTTCTCTCAGTATGGTGGTGGCTTTCTCATCGTTAGCTATAAAAGTACAGCTGTAAGGAGACGTTAACCCCAATGCCTGCAGCAACAACAACCCCACCATATAAACACACACCCCTCCTCGTACACACTATACTCTCCTCCTACTCCTGTTGTCTCCAGATAAACCCTAAACCCTAAACCCTAAACCCTAAACCCTAGACACTTGAGCCCCCCCATGGTCTAGACATAGATGCTGTGTAAGAATATATCCACTCTGTCTCCTTCTTTGTTTTCTTTGCCTCGCTCTTCTGTCTGTCTCCGTCTGTCTCCATCTGTCTCCCTTTATCTGTCTCTGTCTTCAACTGTCTCCTCCCCTTATCTGTCTGTCTCTGTCTCCTTCTACCCGCTCCTGTCTCCGTTTCTCTCTCCTTCTGTCTCCTTTTGTCTCCTTCTGTCTGCTTAGTCTCTCTCTGCCTCTGTCTCCTTTATCTCTATCTGTCTCCTGTCTCCTATCTCTATATGCCTCCTCCTGTCTCCTTCTGTCTCCGTTTGTCTCCTTTTGTCTCTCTCTGTCTCCTTTTGTCTCTTTCTGTCTCTACCTGTCTCCTCTGTCTCTCTCTGTCTGCTTCTGTCTCCTTCTGTCTCCTTTTATCTCTATCTGTCTCCTTCTGTCTCCTTTTGTCTCTTTCTGTCTCTACCTGTCTCCTTTTGTCTCTCTCTGTCTGCTTCTGTCTCCTTCTGTCTCCTTTTATCTCTATCTGTCTCCTTCTGTCTCCTTCTGTCTCCTTTCTTACCTTAAGTTTTTCTTTGGTTTTCTTACAGCCCCCTTCTCTATGATTTCTTACAACACAGTAAACCCGGGCAGCTGGCTGCCGCTGCTGCTTCGGCTTGCGGTTCCGCTGCACCCTCAACCTGCATGCACATACACCCCAGCAGCAGCAGCAGCAGCAGCAGCAAATGCAGCAGCAGCAGCAGTAGGAGGAGGAGGACGAGTACTAGTAGTAGAAAGTGCAACAGCTGAAGCAGCAGCTGCTGCTGCTCCTGCTGTTGCTGCTGCTGCTGCTGCAGAAGCACATAGTGCTGCAGCTGCAGCACGCAACTGCCACAGCTCGCAGCAGCCCGCGTCAAGCAGCAGCTTCATTCATGCTCCTGCTGCTGCTACTGCTACTGCTGCTTCTGCTACTGCTGCATCTGCTGCTGCTGCTACTGCTGCGTCTGCTACTGCTGCTGCCGCTGCTGCTGCTGTTGTTGCTTCTGTTGCTGCGTCCGTTTCTGGGGGGGCACCCCATTTGCTCTTGCTTGCACATCTGCTCCTGCTGCTGCAGAATCTGCTGTCTGTTCAGGTTGCTGCTGCTGCTGCTGCTGCTGCAGCAGCATTTGGTGCCTGCGCTAGTGCTGCTGCTGCTGCTGCTGCTGCTGCTGCTGACCTTTTGCTGTCTAGCATGGCTTGTCTGGCTTTCTTAATANTGCTGCTGCTGCTGCTGCTGCTGCTGCTGACCTTTTGCTGTCTAGCATGGCTTGTCTGGCTTTCTTAATAAAGTACTGCGCCGTCTTCACCGTGGGTCGCTCTCGGCGTCTCCGGGCCTGCAGCAGCAGCAGCAGCAGCAGCAGCAAACAGCAAACACAAATCCCGCTGTGGCTACTGTTGCTGCTGCTGCTGCTGCTGTTGATGCTGCTAGTCCTACTGCTGCTGCTGCTCCTCCTGCTGCTACTGCTGCTCCTCCTGCTGCTACTGTTCCTGCTGCTACTGCTGCAACTGCTGCTCCTGTTGCTGTCACTACTGTTTTTGCTGCTGCTGCCTTTTCTGCTGCTGTTTCTGTGAATACTGGTGCTGTGTTTTCTGCTGCTGCTGCTGCTGCTGCTGCTTCTGCAGCAGCAATTTGTGTTGCTGTTCCGATTTCTGTTGTTGCTGCAGTTGCTGCTGCCGCTGCATCCGCAACGCAGCAGCTTTTCCTACATCTTCTGCTGCTGTTCGTGCTGTTGCTGCTGCTGCTCCTGCTGCTGCTGCTGCTGTTCCTGCTGCTGCTGCTGCTGCTGTTCCTGCTGCTGCTGCTGCTGGTGCTGCAGCTGGTTGTGTATGCTTACTTTCTTGGCCTCAGCTATTGCCTGTGCACGCTCTTTTCGGGCGAACTCATCCTGCTGTCTCCTCTTCAGTACTGTCTCCGCTATCTTCAGAGACTCTCCATCTACGCGGGGCTTCAGCTGTCCCCGTGCTCCCCCCACCTGCTGCAGGTGCTGCACGTCTTCTACCATTGCTGCTGCTGCTGCTGCTGCTGCTGCTGTTGATGCTGCTGCTGCTGCGCAGGTGTACGTACACCCCACGGAAATAGTACTGCCGCAGCAATACAACAGCTGCAGCAACTGCTGCTGCAGCAACAAACACCTAAAGCGACGACAGCTGTCTAGGTGTCGGCAGCAGCAACAGCAGCTGCAGCAAATGTTACAGCAGCAGCTGCTGCAGCCGCAGCAGCAGGAACGGTCACTGGGGGCCCCCCTGAGCTCTGCTGCTGCTGTGAAGCCCGAGCTGCTCCTTCAGCAGGTAAAGATAAAGAAAGGAGTCACACAGGAGCAGCAGAAGACAAACTTAATTAAGAATGAGGGGCAGAGCTGCCTATACACCCGAAAACAAAGAAACCACTGAAATAAATAGAGGGCGGGGAGAGGGTCGGCCTCCCCTCAACCTCCTGCAGCCCCCTCGTATTTTAAATATATTATTTATAAAATTTATTATTTATTTCAAATGCAGCAGAGTTTCATGCTGTTGCTGCTGCTGCTGACCTGCAGCAGCAGCAGCAGCAGCAGCAGCAGCATCGGGGCCCAGGGCCCCACAGCATGCAGCGGGTACTCTGGGCCTTCCTTCTTAGCTTCTTCGATATAAATTTGTTGTTTGTCATCAATTTATTTTTTTAATTATATTGTCTCCTCTTCGCTTCTATTTGTGCTGCTGCAGTTCCCTCTGTTGCTACATATATTTCTGCTGCTGCTGCTGCTGCTGCTGCTGTTACTATTGCTGCAGTTGCTGCTGCGTTCTCCGTTGTCTTCGCGGGAATGGGGGATCCCGCAGGAGTGAATACTGGTGGGGATCGTGTGGGGTTGTCGCTGCTGGGATCGGATCCCGGATCTGTGGGGCGTATACATGAGGGCCTCGTCACCGTCGAGGCCCCCCCAGGTGAATCTGTCTTTTATAACCCAGCTCAGGTTTTTAACAGAGATCTCTCTATCCTTGTCCTCAAAACTTTTGCTCTCAAGCAGCAGCAAATCATCAAACAAAGATGTGAGGCAGACACACTACATACTTACACTTTTATAAAAAAAAAAAAAACACGCACAATCCGGCAGCTAGCTAGCCACAGATAGCTAGCCATAGCTAGCTAGCATCGTGGCTAGTTGGCGAGCAAACAGGCTAGCTAGCGAGGTAGCTAGGTGGCTAGCTATGTGGATGGACAGCGGGCTAGTTGGGTGGCTAGTTAAGTGGCT